GAGGGCGGCGGGAGGCTGGGGCTCGGCCTCTGAGGCCTCTCGGGGCGGTCCGGGGGCCGCCTCAGGCGCGGAGGTGCCCGGCAGGAGCTCTGCCTGGCGGGAAGCAGCGGGGATGACGCGTCGCTTCATCTTCTGGAGTGTTTCTGAGGCACTTCAGTTCCGTGACGGTCTCTCCTCTCTCCTCCTGGCCTGGACCCTTTCTTTAGATGCCTCTTTCCCGCTGTTTTGGTCGGGAAACTGTGTAAAACAGCGGTCAGAAACCCGTCTCGCAGTAGGAACAACAAATGCGTTCAGATAAACAGGGAGGTTTCTGTGGCAATCTTACTTATACCTGCTTTTTTAATAGAACTGTGAAACTGGCAGCGTCTGCTTCTCTTGGAAGCAACTTTAAAACGAGTTCTTGCCACGTGAGGTGTAATGGTTTTAAGAGATTTTATCCAACAGTATGTATTCTACCTTAACATAAAGTGATGACTGTGGATTTTGTATTTGTGTTTAAAGTATCTAAAAAGTTTTCTGACAGTTCTATCTTGATTTCCTCCCGTGTGTGCCTAGTATTTTTATGTATTATCTCCGGTATCGTTCCCTATGCTGCTCTTGTCTGTTTTCACACCGTGTTCACCATCGCGGTGTCTGAACACACATCGCAGCCCTGAAGCTCAAGCGGTTGGTTGCATCACACCTGCCAGCCAATGCAGGAAAGCAGTGCAGGCTTGCAACGCCACGGCATTGGAATAGCTCTGTATGACAGTGTTCTCTCATTTCTTCTGAGGTTTTTCAACAACGGTTCCAGTAATTATATGGATCAGAGTATGGCTTGCAAACCTGTGGAAAGACCGACTTTCATTGAAATATTTAAGGCACGTTGCAGTGAATCAGGTACAGCTTCTCTGTAGTAAATGGTTTTTATTAAGGTTACTTTCTGGACATCAATATTTTATACCCACTTGCTGTGTGTTCCACAGAAAAGCACTATGAACTTGTTAGCTGCTCTTCTTCCTCCAAATCTGTATTTGATAATACCTGCTTTTTAATGCATTAATTTCAATTTTAGTTTGTAGCTTTTTTTCATGTGTATTCAAGTTTTGTACTTGTCTTTTTAGCTGTTGACTTCCTTATGTACCTGTTTGCAGACCAGGTTTAGTCTTTTGTGAAATGCACTTGTCATAGTATGATTTATTAATGTTTAAAGGAACCCATTTAGCTTGACCATCTAAGTAAAATAAAACTAAAATTCCTGAAGGAAAGTGTACTTCTAATATTGGACAAACTAGGTAATTATCTGTTCTTTGGTTATTTTTTGTTATAGTCTGAGAATTGGCCAGGCTTTCTTTTGTACTTTGTGGTGTCAGAGTTCAAAGCAATCTAGAAACAAAATAAGCAGAGGTGTGACAATGGAATTGTCACTAATTTTCACATACTGAATGGAGGATCCTTTTTTCCCCGTTTTCCTTGTCATGTGGTTTTCTGTATGTTTTTCTTTACAGACTTAGGACCTATCAGTCTCAACTGGTTTGAAGAACTCAGTGCAGAAGCACCCCCCTATGAGCCTAAACAGTTAGGAGAACGTGATGGTCCCTTTGGCTGGCTTGATCAAACATCTTTTAAAACTCCAAGGACAAAACCCTCTACATACAGTCAGCTGGCATCAACTCCACTGATTTTTAAAGAACAAAGTATAGTATTGCCACCTTATTCTCCTGGAAAAGAACCAGATCACAAAACAATAGGAGAAAGTGAGTAATTTCTATACATATATATTTAAAATATATATATTTATTTTTTTTTTAAGTGGTACTTCAAGGCTGCTTGTGCCTTCCAGAAGCAAGGGACTTTTTTTGTTTAACCCTTTGTTGTGATAGCTGGTGATTGTTAATGTAATGGATTATGCTGCTGTGGAAATTGTGCGAGTAGAAAGTTTATTTTAGTAGGCTTCTGAAGACCACTTATAAAAATGCATAATTAATCTTAAGAATTAATTCAGCCTTGCAATAAACTGATAATGCTTATGCAAAGTTCCCTGTGGTCCTAATACTCTACATATTAATATAAGGGGTTATGACCTTATTAGTGTCACCTGTTGGCTGAGAAACAGTGAACATTTTTTTAGCAGTTTCATTTTTGTTTTATCCAAAATCTCTGAAAATCTTTTCAAGAGATGCTTATCATGTTGAAGTATGTGGCAATCTGTAGAGCACTTCTTAACTCTCTCAGACAGATTTAGAAGCACTAAACTCTTTGAGTTAGTAAAACTGCTAGAAGTTACACTTTTCCATATGGAGATAAGGAATTCTATCACTTTCATGAGGTGCTTCTCACTACATTCTTTCCAAATCCCAAGTATGTCATGAAAGTACTGCTCTTTTTTGCTGTACCTGCAAGCCATAGTACCACTCCTCCTTGAGCAGAAAGAAGAACCTTTTTGTGGAAGAATATCATACCCCATTCCTGCAATATCTGATATGTACATCTGCTGTGTCTGTGCCCTCCTATGAATAAGATTAACTTTTCCAAACAGGTTACAGATAAATCCAAGATTCACTTTATTATCAGAATCATTCTTAGATCCTAAAGCAAAGTATTTGAAGGTGTAGAACTGTGCTACTGTTTAAATATACTTTATAGCATTGCTTCCATCCAATATTGCTCCCTTGTTTCTTTTTTCTTAAGTTTACTGCTGAACTTGTTCTCAACTTATTTTCAGCCGAGAACATGTTTCTTCTACATTTAGCTATTTGGACTTGTACAGTGTTAAAATTATTGGTAATATTTCATAAGTGGCAGACAAAGGAAACTTAGGATTCTTTGATTTCAAAATGGTTGCTTTTGCTCTGTGTTTGTGTGTGGGGATGTCTGTATACACTCCTTAAGGAAGGGAAGATGACTGTTACCAAAGCTTCTGTAGGTACCTGTGGCTGCCCCAAGATCTTACTCTCCTAGTTTTCTTGGTTATAGCCAACTGACTCATGTGCCTAGGTTTTCCGCTCATGAAAACAAACTCACGGGTAGAAGCTGATGGACTCCACCTTGGTGTGGTACTGGCATGCAGCCGTGCTATGCATACAGACTCAGGAACTCCAGAGAGAAATGCAGCAGCCTAGGTGAAATTTCTGATATGGAA